CCTCCACTTCATTGGCCGCACCCAAGAAAAATCCACAACAATATCCAACACCCAGATAGGCTAATCTTTTAGAAGGGAACAAAACAAAGCCAATAAGAATATCCTTTTCTCAATCTCCCTACTTCCTGGTCCTCCACATTCTCAGCCCAATGCCTAAATAGTCTATTCTCCTGGAAAGGAGATAGATCAACGCTTTCCTGGTATAGTCTAACAGGCGTAGGCCCGTGCACGCATCCTCAGTCTCCCTACTCCAAACCTTCCTAGACGGGTGCTAGGTTGTTGGGAGCTGTTGTAATTTTTCAACAGCTAACCTAACCCACACTGTTATTTAATTAGGCATTTACTGTGAACATAAAGAAAAAAACATTTGTGAGCAACTTCAATAACTTGGCATATGAAAACACAGTAATGACTCAGAGGCTTGTGTCAGACCAAATCAAATTAAGCACTTTATTGTCAATTATACATGTAAATCATGTTTATTTTTACTTCCGAAAAGTTTGAAACAGAATATAAGATAAAGAAAAGGGAAATTACAGATGGACACAGATCATGATAAAACAGAAAACAATTTTGAATATTCCATTACTGAAATCACTGTTTATTGATTGGCTTATAGATTCTTTATATTTATGTAATTTTGCATTAATGGAGAGCCTATGGTTTCACTTATCTGAATACCAAACATTATAAGGCAAGGCAATTGTTCTATATGTTGTACATGTTTAGTACATGTTTAAAATATTTGATTAGTTAAATTGGATACTGTCAATAACAGATTTACAATTTGTGTTGCTGAAGGCATCTAAATGAAGTAGAAGCCTAGATTATCAATTTCATTTGCAAATCTCGCTGCAATTCCATAACACTTTCCAGATCTCACATCAACCCTCACAGGCTCCCCCAAATCTTTACACTTGATGGAGAATGTTCTTCTTTCGCCAATGCTTTTTTCAACCACAAATTCCAACCCATGGACTCTGTCCTTATTCCTATTTGGCCATATTGTTGCAGAGACAATTGTATCATTGTTAAATAGAAATTCTTGTACTTTCAGATTATTGTTGACACCAACATTGAATTTTTGACCATTGTTGAAAATCGCCTCCATTCCTTTAAACCTGGAAATCACTGTGGAGCTCTGCAGTGGCACAGAAAATGCAGAATGTTATTTCAGAACCAGAAAATTATTGTTATTAGTGCATTATCTTATACATTAAGCATGATAAACAAATGGGGAAAAACATTTTTGAAAGTTATTTTATTCACTTCATGACAAGAAAAGACTACTGTTTTGAGTAGTCAAAATCACTGGTTTTTATTTCGTTAACCTTTCCATTATTTAGGGGGCAACAAATAATGAAATATGAAGTGTAATAATTGGCTACATCAGTGTTTTGATCATCGTTCTGGATATGATCCAGATGTAATCTTTAATTAAATAAATTTTCGCAGATTTATGTTCAAAATTTTGTTTTGCATTGATTAAAATGCATTCGCTTATACTAGGGTTTTAATGGTACACAAGATTCTCAGTTCAGTATGTACCTCAGTTTTTTAAGCCACGGTTTGGTACAATTTCGGTAAAATTAGGGGGAAGGAATGTAAACATAAAATTGTTTGTCTTTTATTAACATTTGTAAACATTAACAGTTTTACTTTATTTTAAATAAAATACCTGCTTGATTATAATTATATATATATATATATATATACACACATATAAGAATAAAAATAATTGAAAAATAAAACAAACATTTTCCAATAAATAAAATACTCATCAAATAAATTAAACAAAACCATTGCTATGGTGATAAGAGAGGGTCTTCAAGCTCTGGCCACAATGTCATTCACAAGCAAGAGGCTAGACTAAGCCAAAGAGTACATTGTACAGACTAAAGACTATGGGCGACCGATCGCTGAATGGCGGCAAAGTACTGCAGGAGTGATATGAGAGAAGGCAGCATTGTATGCTTTCGAGTTTCTCGCAGTACATTGTTGTCATACACCGATCGGTCAGACCAGCTCCGCAAAAGCGCAGAGCGGGCTGCGCTCAAAGTGCGAGGTGAAGACTAAACAAACTTGCAATCCTTCTTCAAAGGACTTTTTTTCTGATTTTTGTGGCCAAAGTGACTGAATTTGCTGCGGCTTTTCTCAAAATGTGCAGAAATATTTGCGGCATTCTAATTTTTTAATTTAATGTAAATCTACATGGAAATCTACTACAGATAATGTTCTTCTAACATTGGTACTACTTTGCTAACCTTGAGAATCATTGGAGGGTTCCAGACTAACATTTGAGGGCAGCAAAACCAGTGCCACTATGGCATGGGACATTCCTGACATATTTGTGGCAATTATTATGTTTTGGCTGTTAATCACACAACATCTGGTTGGTGAAGCGTGCTCGCTCTCATTGGCTATCGCAGGCAGCAGCCTGATCATGAGTTGTAAATATAAAACATAAATAATAATAATAATAATTAATTACATTTATATAGCACTCAATAGCCGAGGTCACACCTCTACGCTTTTCAAAAGACATCCTGGGATTTTTAATGACCACAGAGAGTCAGCACCTCGGTTTAACGTCTCATCCGAAGGACGGTACTTGTTGACAGTATAGTGTCCCCGTCACTATACTGGGGCATTAGGACCCACACAGATCACAGGGTAAGCACCCCCTCCTGGCCTCACTAACACATCTTCCAGCAGCAACCTAGTTTTCCCAGGAGGTCTCCCATCCAGTTACTGACCATGCTCAGCCCTGCTTAGCTTCAGTGGGTAACCAGTCTTGGGCTACAAGGTGATATGGCTGCCATATCATGGTTGACATCTATCAAGATGGTGGTGCCCTGTATAGCAGTGGCTACTCTGTGTCAGACAAGATAATATACAGTATTTAACTAAATTTGCACATTTGATAACGAAAGCCAATCAAACACGAGAATAGTTTACAATCGCTGTACCTTGCTCAAACTTTGTGCATCCGGCTTATCAAGCAACTTATCCAGCAGTTTACTGGCTTTGAAACTCAAAATGCTCTGTGAGCTTGGGATTCTATGCCGACAAGACCCAGACGGCCACTAGCACTAATCCAGACAGTGTTTTTATCATCACTGGGGAATTTAATCAGGCCAATCTGAGGACTGAACTACCACATTACTACCAACAAGTGAACTTTGCGACCAGCCGAGATAACACACTAGATCGGGTTTACACAAGCATCAAACAGGCATTTAGGGCAGTCCCCCACCCCCATTTTGGAAATTCTGACCACCTCTCATTTATGCTAATTGATAAAGCAATGAATGGGTAGTTAGCAGTTTATGGGGGAGTCATTTGTGGTCACTCTGTATGCTGGTATGAAATAGTCAATAAACATTTACTATGAATGCAGATAACGTGCCTAATGCATCTATCTGTATTCACTGACCCTGGATAAATAGTCTTTACACAAATAGCAGTCTCATATAGCAACAACCTAATGCCAAGGCCTTTGCGGAAAAAGGTTTGGTTAGCTTATATTTACGTCCACTTGGTCGGGTGATCGATGGACAATGTTTTCCACTGGTATCCTTCTGCTCGCAGTGGGAGTAGACTGGATTGCTTTCCACAGTTGCAGAGCTGCACCGAGTGCTTGAGGTTCACTGCTGGTTCTTGTGTAATCCAGAGAACTGTACGTCAGGCAATGGTAGATCCTCAGGATCCTCTGCAGGTTGGAGATACTTGAGTTGTGCATTTCAGATGCTGTTTGCTGGAGCCAAAGTCCTCTGCAGATGTACTTGATCTGCTTGAAGGTCCGTGAGGTGGAAGGTTTACTAGCAATAGTGTAACCTTAATCGTGCTGCTGTTCTTTCCTCGTCAGGTCAGAAACTCAGAACAAGGGTGTGTTCACTTGGGAAAGCTTTTATTCTTTCCCATTGGGGAGAGGATTACTAATTCCCGCTTTTCCAAATGTAGTGATGTGATTGGGTCACATCATTCCCGGTGTCCCTCCATCCCTTCTGACCTTTCCATCCTGTGGAGCTTGTTGGATTTTGCCAAAATACATAGTTAAATAAAACAATGTCTTTAGGACCTTGGAAATACTTTATTTATTTTTCAAACCTTTCTCAAAGTCCTTGTTGCGATGTTCTGAGCTCATAGGGTACAAACTTGATGTGAATTGGTTGAGGAATCACCCAGATGTATCTTTCAGTGTTAGTGGGTGAGATCACATTGGCTGTTATTCCAGGTGTAGTTTCAGCTGTGTGCACAGTTCCCTGGATGAATGAGACGTATAGCACAAATTCCTTACAGTATTCCTGTCCATTTTTGGTGATTTCAAGCCAATGTGTGTATATAGATTGCCTCTTTTGGGGCCTTTCTTTGTCCTTGCTGCTGGCCAGAACTGGTTTGGTGGCCCTGATGGCTCAGGTCATTCACACCTTGGCCCCAGGCATAGAGAGCAGAGGTGAAAAATGGGCATTGGTGATTGGATTAGCCTTTGATTAATGAGCTGTTGGTGTAGTCTCTCTGGCAGTCTCGATTACAATAGTCCTTTAGTTATTGTTGATGATCCTATTGCACCCTCTTGTCTTAACCATCATGGGACAAAAGGATTCCTGTTGTGACGTGTGTCTGCTGTTCACTACAATATCCATAAGTGTGGAGAATGTGACTGCTTTTAAGAATATCACGACACGTTTCAACCAGAAACCCTGGTTTACCAGAGAGGTTCATAAGCTCTTGAAAGCACGTAATGCTGCATTCAAGTCTGGGGACAAAGATGCTCTTAGTTCTGCCAGAAACAACTTGAACCGGGGTGTGAGAGCAGCAAAGAGTGCTTATGGACAGAAAATCCAGTGTCACTTCTCTGACACAAAAGATATCATGCAATTTTGGCAAGGCATCAAATCCATCATAGATTACAGGGCCTTCTAACCTTCCAACCTACATTTAACACCTACTTCAGCCATTTTGTGCAAAAGAACAATACTGTAACAATGAACCAGGATGATGCAGTACTCTGCCTTAACCCAGCTGATGTCCGAAGGATGCTACCTAGGGTCAACCGAAGAACAGCACCAAGTCCTGACAACACACCAGGTTGTATACTCAGGGACCATCTGAGACCATCATCCTGAACATTGGGGTCCCCCAAGGATGTGTCTTGAGCCCACTGTTGTTCACCCTGATGACTCCGGAATCGGCTTACAGAGAAGTTAACCAACTCGTCGTCTGGTGTGACAACAACCACTTGTCACTGAATGTCAGCAAGAATTAAGAGGTTACTGTGGACTTCAGGAGGAAGCGAATGGTTCATAACCCTCTCATAATCAAGTAACATGACATGTGGCCAAGTATGGTGACCCATACTCGGAATTAGTGCTCTGAATTTATCCCATCCTAAGTGCACACACACACACACACACACACCTTGAACACACTCCCAGAGCAGTGGGCAGCCATTGTTTTTGCTGCAGCGCCCGGGAGCAGTTGGGGGTTCGGTGCCTTGCTCAAGGGCAGCTCAGTCATGGTATTGACCTACACCTACCTACACTCCCTGCCAGTACGAGACTCGAACCCGCAACCTTTGGTTACAAATCCGACTTTCTAACCATTAGGCCATGACTTCTCTCAATGGCAGCATCGTGGAGTCCGTGAGAAGCATCAAGTTACTGGGGGAGCATATCACTGAAAAATTGTCATGGAGCAGCAATACCATCTCTGGTCAAGAGGGCTCAGCCGCGCCTTCACTTCCTAAGGCGGATGAGGAGAGCAAACCTTCCTCCTATCCTCACAACTTTCTACAGAGGCACAATAGAGAGCATTCTGACCAAAATCCTCTCAGTCTGGTATAACAGCTGCACAGCCACAGACCAGAAGTCCCTCCAGGGAGTAGTGAGGACAGCAGAAAAAAATCATCACAACCTCCCTCCCGTCAATACAGGAACTACACCTGTCCCACTGCCTTAGCAGAACCACCAAAATAATCAGAGACCCCATCCATGGACTGTTCACACTTCTGCCATCTGGCAAACACTACAGCAGCATGTGATGCAAGACAGCAAGATTTAGAAATAGCTTCTTCCCACAAGCTCAACTTACATTAACAATAGACAGACATGATGTCTGTTGGACTGCAGAGACGTGCACATGCTGACTGGATCACATTTTATTCTTTATTCCTATGCTGCTACTTTGAATATCATTTCAGTGCATTGTTTTACACAGTGTTTAAAAATGTCCAATATATACACCAACTCAGTGCAATACGTAATTGTATAGTATTTATTTTAATTTATTTTATTCTTGTAAAGTTCCAGTATATATTTAGATTGTCTTACATGACATTTTTAATTTATAATGTTCTATATTTTGTCTGTTGTATATGTCCTTCTGTTGTTGTCCTGTTCTTCCTGCTTTATGTTAATGCCTTAAATTGTATATGTTCTTACTTTGCACATTGAGCCCTGGGCTCAGAGAACGCATTTTGTTCGACTGTACACTATTTGTTTTATAGTTGGAATGACAATAAAGTACACTTTGACTTTGACTTTGATCATTATTATCATTACTAGTACGTTCATTCAATACCTTTACTTCAGTACCATTTTGGTTACTCTACCCACCTCTTCTTCGTAATACATTTTGATTTCCTTAATGGCGCTGATGGAAGGAGTTATAAAGCTGGTTTTATAGCCTCCTCCGCCACCCACAAACAGAGGATGTTCTGATAAAGGAATTAAGAGGAAAAAAACAATGGATACATTAATACAGCAGCAGAATACAGTTTATTATTGATAGTTCAGTTGTTAAAACAGCGACAATTGGATTTTAAAGTAGAATATATCCTTTAAGTTTAAAATCCAGTCACTGTCTCATCCTTGGGTAGAAATATAAATACATTTAACCCCTTAACTACCACTGTCCCGCCAGCGGGACACTTGCCGTTATACATTTAAAACAATTACTGTATATCTTAAGCTAAACCTAAAGTAATACTGACAAACTATAAATCATGTGAAAGCTGTTACTGCTGGCGAGTGAGACCGATTATTTGAGTACAGATGACTGGTGAGTACGGAGTGTAATGTAGAGTATAATGTTCATTCATATTTATATGTAATACAAATCAGCTTATTTTGTGGACCAGGATAATTATAATGTTTAATGCCAATTGATGGTCGTCTTTTTATTTGTCTCATCTGCATTCTATATGCACAATATTAGAATTGCTGTCTTGTGCAAGTTGAAATACATTTCATGGTTATTTTGTTCAAGATAGAATGGTTTACACAAGGTGTGCCCAAACTTGGTCCTGCAACGTTTACCTCCAACCCTAATCAAACACAACTGAACCAGCTAATCAAGCTCTTACTAGGCATACTAGAGACTTACAGGCAGGTGTGTTGAGGCAAGCTGGAGCTAAACTGCAGGACACCGGCCCTACAGGACCGAGTTTGGGCACCCCTGGTTTACACTCTTATATTATGGATATTGAGGTGTTCAACACCTCAACAACAAGTGCTCATGTCTGTTCTTTATGATATGCTCCCTATTTCAGGACAACTACAGAGACAAATGTGCATGACAAATGTGCAGAGTGCCCAGGACCAGGACTGAAAACTTGTTGTATGTACGTGTATGTGTAAAAAAACAGAAGTATATTTTTGGGCTTAACCTGTTGAGGGACAGTTATAGAGTTTCATTTGTTTTTATATAATGTTGTCAATCCAAACAATAGCTGCATTTACATGGACCAAACTAATCCTTTTGAATATAATAATATATATTAGTCGGAACTAAAAGAAAAAAAGGTCATGTCACCATATCACACAGAATTAAAACGCCAATTCTGATTGAAATTGTGTTTGATTGAACAGGGTGGAATAAATATAGACAGCATTTACTGCACATAGCTTCAAGTGCTCATCATCCCATAATCAGGACCCAAAATAGATGAAAAGAATGATTGTAAATGTGGCTACTGACTGTGTGAATGTAGAAAATATCAATGAAAAAGATTAATGCATCAAAATGTGTAGATCATAGTTACCTGTAGAGGGATTAGGAGTGACAGTATCACTGGCTTCACTCATTCCCACTTTATCCACTGCTCTACACCGGACTGTGTACTGCTTTCTATATGCCAATCCAGTCAGAGTAATGTCTTTATCAGTTGTTTCGATGCTGATCCACTGTTCATCGCGACCCTCGGGACTTGATTTTAGCTCCTTGTATTCCACTCTGTACTTCAGTGTTTCTCCAGTTGGGGACTCATGCAGTTTCAGGGCCACAGTTTGGACCTTGACATCTCTCACTGGTGGGAGAGGCTTGGAAACAAGCTGGTACTTTGTGTCTGTCAGTCTTCCTTTTTCATAAAGATAGATGGAGGAGCCTAGACTGGAGGGATCAGAGATGGCAGAAATAATAAAGCGGATTCTCTTGTTTTTTTTATTGGCCTCTGAAAAACTTCTGAATCTAGATATGTCTTCTCTCATATTTGTGATGACATTGGGATTATTAAACCACTTTTTAACAGATGACACTGGAACATTGTTTTCCTCATCTATCTCTTTAAACTTGTCAGATTTGAGAAATTCCTTCAGGGTTGAAAGATACGGGTCTTCATACTGGAGAGAGGTGAAAGTCAAGCTCACCACAAAATCAGTATTAGGATCAATGAGTATGGAGTTAAGACAGTCTGGGTCTTCCATTTTGATGCCCTTCAATGTGTTAGTGAAAGACTTCAAGAGGTTAAGTTCAGACTTTGCATCATTTAACCACTGATTAAGCTTGCCAACATTAAATGGGGAGCTTCTGTGTATCCTTAGGATGTCTTCCAGTGACTTCTCCTCCATTCCTCCTTCTCGAATTGCAGGCAAAACCCTGCCGAATGCTTTCAGGAGCATTGATTTGTAAATCTTAAATGAGCTCTGAAATGAGCGCAGCCTCTCTTTGATGTCACTGAAAGCATTTACCAATGTACTTTCGGAAAGGTCGTTGCATATCCTCTCTGCCTCCAACAGTCCCTCCATTATATCTTCAGCACTGGAAACTATGCTTGTGCTGATTTCTCTCTCCATTCGAGCTGCCCTTGTATCCAGAAGATTAAGGGGATACAGCCAGACTTTGATTGGAACCATTTTCTGATGATTCTCCTTCAACAGAGTGGGGAGCTCCTTGAACAGATTCAGGGCCTCCATGTATGTGGTGGGGTTCTGCTTAAGGCTAATGTCACCATGAAATGTGCAGGTGATCTTCTCAGCTCTTTTCTTTTCAAAATCTGTCATTTCCAAAGCTGCTTTTCCCTCAATGGAAAATAAAGGGATCTTATTGACCATGAGATTCAGTTCTCCCTCAACCTCCTGTTTGTTTTCCTCTTCTGAAATTGTCTGATCAAACACCATGAAGGTCTGAGCTCCATACAATACTGCTGTGACCACATGAGTCGCGGTTTTCTGGTCAAACACCTGAGGATAGGTGATCTTGCCCAAATGGGTCATAGTGAGCTGTTCAAATCTTGAGGTTTCACTGTGATACATTGTTACTCGGGACTGTTGGTTTGAAGATTTAGTGTCACGCAGGAACTTGGCAGATCCTCCCACCTCCACGAGCCCACCCAAGAAGCTAGCCTTCAGGGAGGCACTTACATCTAGGAGACTGGCCTTACTAGACATAGAGTCAGAGCTACTGAACTTCAAATCTGTGAGTGGCTGTGGACGACTGTCCAAATTTTCACTCAGGGATTTCTTATCCCACAGAGTAACACCTGAAATGAGATAAGATTTTAACAGTTATGTATGAGGAAGTGATTTTAAAGGTTTTAAAGTGTTGCTACAGAAGGACTCGTTTAGCAACATTTGGTGAAGAAGGAATATATAAGTCTGTTTTGTTTGTTCGTAAAGCACCTGGAATGAAGGAATCCTTGCGGGAGTCATACAGCATACCAAGAAACAGAGGTCTTCCTAGGGCTGCCAGTTCAGTGGGCTGTGATTCCAGTACTATAGAGTAAAGAAAACAAAATGTGATATTTATGGAAATTTAATTATTTATGATTATTTTATAAATAAGCCACAGTATATGACTGTCCACTGCTGTGGGTGCCTCTCCACAGTTTGTAGTGTGTGTGTGTGTGTGTGTGTGTGTGTGTGTGTGTGTGTGTGTATTTCACACACTACTTTCACTACTCACTGCTCTTAATGTGCATGCTCACAACTGGATGGGCTAAATGCATTGGATAAATTCTGAGAATGGGTTACAATAAATATATATAAATATATTTAATTTTGTTGTAGACTGAAAACATTTGGGTTTGACATCAGAAGATGAATATGAGACAAGAGATCAACATTTCAGCTTTTCAGCATTTATTTCCAGGTATTTACATCTGGATCTGATACACAACTTAGAAAATAGCACCTTCTGTTTGAACCCACCCATTGCTCGTGACCAATTATTTGAACAGATTGACTTAAAAATTGATTTAAATGAATAAGACTTAATATTTTGTTGCAAATCCTTTTCTTGCAATAACTGCATCAATCCTGTGACCCACTGACATCACCAAACTTTTGCATTCTTTTGTGATGCTTTTCCAGGCTTTCACCACAGCCTCATTCAGTTGTTGTTTGTTTTGGGGGGTTACTCCCTTCAGTCTCTTCTTTAGCAGGTAAAATGCATGCTCTATAGGGATTAAGTCTGGAGATTGACTTGGCCAGTCTAAATCCTTCCACTTCTTGCCCTGATGAACTCCTTTGTTGCTTTGGCACTGTGTTTTGGCTCATTATCTTGCTGCATGATGAAGGATCTCCCAATCAGTTTGGTTGCATCTCTCTGTAAATTGGCAGACATGTTTTTGTAGACTTCTGAGTTCATTTTGCTCCTGCCATCATGTGTTACATCATCAATGAAGATTGAGTCTGTCCCAGAAGAAGCCATGCAAGCCCAAGCCATGACATTACCTCTGCTGTGTTTCACAGATGAGCTTGTATAAACATACATCATAAGCAGATCCTTTTTTTTCTCCAAACTTTAGCCTTTCCATCACTTTGATAAAGGTTAATCTTTGTCTCATCAGTCCATAAAACTTTTTCTCAGAATTTGAGTCTCATCTCTGTACTTTTTGGCAAATTCAAGCCTGGCCTTCCTATTGTTCTTGCTAATGAGTGATTTGCATCTTCTGATGTAGCCTCTGTACTTTTGTTTATGAAGTCTTCTCCGAAAAGTAGATTATGATACCTTCACTCCTTGTTGCTGATGTCACTAACAGTTTTTTAGGGTCTTTCCTTACAGCTCTCACAATGTTTCTGTTGTAGCAAATTAGCTCAAAACGGAAATGTATATAAATAATTACAGTTAATTATGATTAATTACAATTATTTATATCAGCTGCCAGTAGTAACTGTTGCAGATTTAAATTGCCATCAACCAATCTGTTCATCCAGCAAACATTCCATGTAAGTTCATATCCACTCTAGGAAAGGATATTTCCGTAGCCACAGAAAATACTTTCATACAGTATTAATGCATTAGAGCATGTAGTAAGGATCAAAATCGAAAAGGGACATTAATTTGCAAGGCAGAATCAGAAACTCATGTAATTTGTGCACAAATTAACTAAATACTAACACAAACTAGTCTAACGAACAAACAAACAATCACTCATACCGGGGAAAGTGCAAATGAGACTTGATGGATGAAACCATCAGGAAAAACCAGAGAATGAAGCTATGAAAAGAGTCAGTTAATCACCTGAGTGAAACCATTAGCACCGTTTTAGAATGGGGTCTACAGCTTATCCTAAACCTCTGTTTCGTTTAGTTAAATGTATGATGCTTGCATTGCTGTGGCCTGGAACGAGCGTACGGATGCAGCCTCGGATGAAAGTCTTGATGGTTTGGAGGTTCAGTGGTGTAGGATTTGCGATAACCTTCTTCCGGGTTTGAAGAGTGATGAACTCCAAAGATGTTCTGACTCGAGGGTGAATGGGAGTTTCTTCCCAGTGGAAAGTGAAAAAGAGCTAAGAGAGACATCAGCTGAGATCCTAGGATCTTTGGTGAATGGAAAGTCAAGGCCGAGGCCTGGCAGGAACTTATGGATTGCAGAAGCATCCTAGCTCATATACTCATCTTCTCAGAGTCTAACAGAACTGTAGACTGACTGGCTATTGTGTTGGAGCCCACCGGGCATGCCCGCACCAGCTCAGGCTGTCCACACGGGCCGCAATCAGAGGGTTTTGAACTGTGCATGAGCCTATTAAGGTCTGATAAGATTCACACCTCTCAGTGTGGGCTTGTCCAATGAGAAAGGCCAAGCGGGAGGTTGGAAATACTGGGGAGTTTTATGAACCTTTGTGTGAGAGCATGGTAATTTGCCTATGGAACTCAATTGGGTGTTGATGCAAAATTACTAAAGATTCTTAAAACACTAATATATTGCATAGGTATAAACATATAATATACACTATCAATTAGATCATCTGAAGACGAATTCATAGAGACCAAACATGGTATATGTAAGGTTACATGAATGAGTGTTTCTATCATGAGCATGCATAAAACAGTATAAAATACAAAAGACAATATACAACAACAGTAACAACATACACAATGACCTGAAGTACATGTGTGTTCATTCATAGAAAGGTTTTTCTATGAATTAATTAGAGAAGTGTCCATTTTTATGGACATTGTGTATTTCCTGAGGTTAAATGAATTGTGAGTTGATCTGCCCACATTCCTTTGGCCAATAAAACCAGTGATATCAGCATTGGTTGCCATGGAACCAGAGGCCTTTTCTGCCTTTCTGAGGTGTTAAATGCATTTCGGGGGAAGGGTCCAAAGACCCTCAAAGTTGGTTTGTTGATTGAGGGGTGTTACAGAGTATTTGTTACATACATATAACTTTAAAAAATTGTGTGTCTGATTGGTCTAGACGCTACACTGTCATCAACTGCTGATGTTTTCCTTGGTCTGCCCGTTCGAGGTCTGTTACTTAGTACACCAGTGGTTTCTTTGTTCCTCAGGACATTCCAAATGGTTGTACTGGCTATGGCCAATGTTTGTGCTGTGCCTCTGATTGATTTTCCATCTTCTCTCAGCTTCACAATTGCTTGTTTTTCACCCAAAGACAGCTCTCTGGTTTTTATGTTGGTTACACGTTTAACTATAAATGCAGTCTGCACAGGCAAAACCCAAATCTGAAACTGACCACAGACATTCAGTGCTATTTATTGTTTGAATAATCAATGTAATAGGACACACCAGGGCAACAAAACACACCTGTCAGTTACATGATCCAATACTTTTGGTCACATGAGCAATGGGTGGGTTCAAACAAACGGTGCTATCTTCTAAGTTGTGTATTAGATCCAGATGTAAATACCTGGAAATAAAAGCTGAAATGTTGATCTCTTGTCTGTTAAACCCAAATGTTTTCAGTCTTCATCAAAAGAAAAAAAATGGCCTCACAGTTCCAATAATTTTGGAGGGGAGTATATATATATATATATTGTGGCAGGAGGGGCGGGGGTCAGCGAGGCCTGCATCGGGAGAGAGGATGGAAAGAGACAGTCTGGGTACGCGAGCGACCCGGGAAGACGGGTGTAGATACACGGAAGCCAGTTGCATTCTGTTTGTTATGAGTTATTGACTGTGAATCTTACCGCGCTGAGTGAGCGCCGTGGTGTGTACAGTGCGGGAAGGAATTTAAATAAAGCTCGCGTCCCAGCAAGCCGACCCTGTCTTCTTCCTTCTACCTTCGTGAACATTTGTTACAGTGGTGCCGAAACCCGTGAAGGAAGAAGAACGCCGTCACCGTCATGCAGTCCACCCCAGGATCGCCATTTGCGGAGGTTATCCAATCACTCGCGGGTCTTCACCAGGAGCAGCATCAGGTGCTGCTGGGCCTGAGGGACGATCAGGAGCGGCGGTTCCATGCCCTCCTCCAAGCCCAGCAGGAAGACCGCGAGCTGTTCCGGAGCTGGATTGACCGGGAGGTTCGAGCTGGGGGACCGACATCTGCCCCAGCCCCACCCCCCCATGTGCCTCTCCACAAGATGGGGCCCCAGGACGACCCCGAGGTGTTCCTGGACCTATTCGAGAGGTCGGCAGAGGCCGTGGGGTGGCCGGAGGAGGACTGGCCAGTGCGGCTCATTCCCCTGCTGTCCGGGGAAGCGCAGGTGGCCGCACAACAGCTGCCAGTCCAGAACCTCCTGGTATACCAAGACCTCAAGCGCGCCATCCTCCAGCGGGTCGCTAATTTTAGGGACAACTTGGCCAGGGTTTAAAGCATTATTGGGGCATCTCTGTGCAGGTGTCTCTTGGGAAGAAAGAGCGCGGCAGACGGGGGCAGTCGCGCAGGTGGGAGAAGTTGAGCTGGGACCAATGGGGACTGAGTCAGGCGAACGGAGGACATGGTGAACTACCCCTTAATGTCGGTGGCTATTCAATTTCGGGGACAAAAGCCTAGAGTAGAGGTGGCGGTTAGCCTGCACCTCAGGCATCCGCTAATTTTAGGGACAAATTGGCCAGGGTTTAAAGCATTATTGGGGCATCTCTGTGCAGGTGTCTCTTGGGAAGAAAGAGCGCGGCAGACGGGGGCAGTCGCGCAGGTGGGAGAAGTTGAGCTGGGACCAATGGGGACTGAGTCAGGCGAACGGAGCCCGGTGGAGGGGCGATGATTTTCCCCTGGAGCAGTCCCAGGATGAGTCGCTCAAAAATGCGTTCGAGCAGGTCCGCTCCATCGACGGACAGCTTCTCCAACCCGCTCGACCACTCTCCTATCCGTATTTTGCTATTTTAAAAGACCGGTTGTATCGAGTGACCCAAGACACTCAGTCAAAGCAGGATACA